TTTGTATTTCTTGTATATTATTTGTGTTACTGGCTCTGGACAGTGACGAGTTGGCAGGCGTTACGGGCACTAGACGAAGGCGAGTATGGGGACGTTACGAACACTAGACAGGGGCGAGAAGGGGGTGGGTGGGTGTTGGGTTGTTACGTGCACTGGTCAGAGGCGAATAGGAGGAGCGTTACAATTTCTGGTCAGGGGCGAGGAGGCGTTACGAGCACTAGATAGGGTCAAGAAGGTAGGAGTTACGAGTATGGAGGTCGTTATGTGCACTGGGCAGAGCCGAGTAGGGACGCGTTACAAATACTGGACAGTGACGAGTAGGGAGACATAACAAATACTGGACAGTGAGGAGTAGTGGGACAAATTACGAACACTGGACTGGTGCGAGAAGGGAGGCGTTACGAATACTCGACATTCACGAGTTGCGATGAGGGGCGTTATAAAAAGTGGAAAGACGCAAGTAGGGAAGCGATACGAATACTGGCCAGTGGCCACTAGTCGGATGTTACAAGTACCAGAAAGTGACGTGTAGGGTGGCGTTATGCGCACTGGGCAGTGACGAGTAGGGGGGCATTACAAGTACTGGACAGAGACGTGTAGTGAGGAGTTAAGAGCACTAGACAGGGGCGAAAAAAAAGGACTTACGAATACTGGACAGTGACGAGTAGGGAGGCGTTGGGTTGTTACGTGTACTGGTCAGAGGCGAATAGGGCTGCGTTACAAGTACTGGACAGGGGCGAGGAGGCGTTACGAGCACTAGATAGGGGCGAGAAGGGAGGAGATACGAGTATGGAGGGCGTTATATGCACTGGACAGAGGCGAGAAGGGATGCGTTACAAATATTGGACAGTGACGAGTAGGGAGACATAACAAATACTGGACAGTGACGAGTAGTGGGACATTACGAACACTGGACTGGTGCGAGAAGGGAGGCGTTACGAATACTGGACATTCACGAGTTGCGGTGGGGGGCGTTATAAGCAGTGGAAAGACGCAAGTAGGGAAGCGATACAAATACCGGCCAGTGGCCAGCAGTGGGATGTTACGAGTACCAGAAAGTGACGTGTAGGGAGGCGTTACAAGCACTAGACAGTGACGAGTAGGGAGACATTATGAGCACTGGACAGTGACGAGTAGGGGGTCGTTACGAGCACTACGCTGGGACAAGAAGGGATGCGTTACAAATACTGGACAATGACGAGTATTGGGACGTTGCGAGCACTGGACAGGGACGAGAAGGTAGGAGTTATGAGTACTGGACAGTGGCGTGTAGGGGGTCGTTACGAGCACTGGGCAGGGGCAAGTATGGAGGCGTTACGAACACTGGACAGTGACGAGTATTGGGACGTTACGAGCACTGGACAGGGGCGAGAAGGTAGGAGTTACGAGTACTGGACAGTGACGACTAGGGGGTCGTTAGGAGCACTGAACTGGTGCGAGAAGGGAGGCGTTACGAATACTGGACATACACGAGTTGAGGTGGGGGGCATTTTAATCAGAGGAGGGGGTTGGGTTGTTACGTGTACTGGTCAGAGGCGAATAGGGGGATGTTACAAGTACTGGACAGGGGCGAGGAGGCGTTACGAGCACTAGATAGTGGCGTGATGAGCACTGGGCAGTGACGAGTAGGGGGGCATTACAAGTACTGGACAGAGACGTGTAGTGAGGAGTTAAGAGCACTAGACAGGTGCGAGAAGAAAGGAGTTACGAATACTGGACAGTGACGAGTAGGGGGGCGTTACGAGCACTGGACAGAGGCGAGTAGGGGGGTGTTACAAGCACTAGACTTGGGCGAGAAGGGAGGAGTTACGAGTACTAGACATTGACGAGTATTGAGGCGTTACGAGTACTGGACAGTGACGTGTAGGGAGGAGTTACGAGCACTGGACAGGGGCAAGAAGATAGGAGTTACGAGTACTGGACAGGGACGAGTAGGGAGCATTACAAGCACTGGACAGAGGCGAGTTGGGATGCGTTATGAGTACTGGAAGGATGCGTAACATCATTATTTCATAATAATGATAGACAGACAGACACGTTTATCCAGTAAAAGACCACAGGCCCCTCATACAGTCATTTGCATATGGTATAGATAGTTAAGTGCACATGCTGTGTAAGAGGAACATTTCTATTGCGCTGAAGTACATGATACAGAAAAATACTGACATCTTTTATGATACAGTCATTATGTGTTTTCATAATGTTAATAAAATTGGCGTTTGGATCAAAATCAGTCAAATATTAGTGAATATATCTAAACCTTAAATCAGAAAAACGTTCACACTTAAGGAGTACATGAAATTCATCTTCAATAACATTTTTGTCATCCAATTTACAAAATAAACATAACCTCTCATTGTAATTAACTTTATTGTATCGTCCAGTTTCAACTGCTAACTTGAAGTTACCACATCTAAATTTCGACAGTGCAGATCTGAGGTGCAAATGAATATCAGAATTAAAATATCTTTCCACATTTAAAAATGTCTTAATTTGGGAATAATAAAAACATTTATTAGTATTTTTAATTGAAGTGAACCTACATTACTTAAAATTATCCGAAAGTCTCTTCTAAAACAAGGAATAATCAACATTGCCAACATCTTGTCTGATCCATGCATAGCCATAACCATACTTAAATAAAATATTTCTGACACAAGTTGCCCACGTAGTGCGGCCAACATCATTTAAGGACTTGAGCATATAATAACAATGTTTTGGCAGTCTATTATAAGGCATATACAATAGGTGACACCAGTATTTAATTACTTTGGTCATATAAGTAATTTGTAGAGGAAGTCTGCCACAATCACCAAGAGTCATGTTATTACAGGTAGATTTACGAACTTTCCAGAAATATTTACCAAATTTTACCTGAACAGACTCAATGATGCTACAATAGTAAGGACCCCAAATCTCAGACCCATAACACAAAATAGGTGAAACCATACAGTCAAAAATCTTAAACAAGTCTTTACAATTTCCCATCTTTTTTTGAAAACCATTTATAGAAAATATTGCCTTGTTAGCTGGAGGTACCAGAAAGCTTTGAGCTTTACTCTATACAAGTTTTGGTGTAAATACAAGTCCTAGATATTTATAAAGGGATTCAGTTTCAAAAGCAATACCATTATAGAACCACTTTTCATATTGCCGTAATGGCCCACCATTTCTAAACACAAGAACTTTTGTTTTACTAAGATTAATTGACATTCACGTGCATTCATCTTCTGTTGTAACTAATTACAAGTATCAGAAAGTGCAGAAACATCATCAGCAAACATAAGTGAACACAAATTGTTAAAATCAGGTGAAACATTAACACCTATACCACCTTCCTGTTCCATTAGAGGAAAACAACTTATTATGAAATATGAGAAACAGCTGTGGGCTTAACACAAAACCATGACGGGTACCAATATTACATGTAAAACACTTTGATAAACCCTTTGAGGTTCTAACACATGCAGATAAACTGCTGTACATTGATGATATTATATTAAAAAAATTACTGAAATGCCAACTTCAGCTAAATATTGCAAGAGAACATCATATCTTATTGTGTCAAAAGCCTTTGAGAAATCAATAAAAAGGCAATAATATCTGCCTCTCTTTCTACAAGAATATTTTGAGCTAAACACCTGAAGAGAGAAAATGTGATCAATTGTGGAATACCCTGATCTGAAACCTGCCTGGGACTCATTAATAATTTCATGTGCATCGCACCATGATTTTAAACGCTTATTCAAAATATAGGGAAATGTTTTACAAATAGAATCAATTAGAGATATACCCCTATAATTATTTGGGCTACTTTCACTTTATATGCCAGACTTGAACAGCCATCATATAATATTCTTGCTCGAACTGCATGGAAAATTACCACTATCAAATTATCTGATTATACAGTACTGAAAGAGTGGGGGCACTCGATGCTTTAAGAAACTCATTTGCTATACAATCAGGTCCAGGGGGCTTATTGTAAGGAGAATGTAAAATGTGAAACAAAACCTCCTACTCAGTAATAGCAGCATTAAGTATTGACACATCAGTAGCATTTACAACATGTGGTGAAACAATAGGTTAAACATCAGGCTGGTCAACACAAAGTAATGATAGAAAGTGATCAAACCACTGATTACATGAGATAGATGAGGGAAGACTGTCACACATTCTATGTCGTTTCAATAATTTCCAAAATCAGCTCGAGTCAATGCTGGAATCCACACGTATAATGATACATGTTACATATAACAGGAAGTCTGTATCGAATACATACATACCTACAAACCAGCTTTCAAGCCATAGTCATCATCGAAGTGTACAGTAATCATTTTCTGAGTAATGGTAATATCTGATTAACAATAGTACATCATTATTTCCAAGATATACATGTTAACATATAGCAGGAAATACATTCATACCTACAAAACAGCTTTCAAGTCACAAGTGACTAGGTTGGTTGCTTCCACCCTGTGATAGATCACTGTCTCGACTGACAACCCAAGTCGGTATGACCGACTTTGATAATAAATTTTGAAGGTCACATATGTTTTCTTGGGGTCCCGCTTCTGTCACCAAAGAAAATAACATAGTGATAAGCACAACACTTCTCTGAATATTTAGAGCAAAATACATGACCATGCTCTTTGTGTGAATATGTGCCAGCAGTTGACCTTGATGTTATTACAGCTTTAACTCGGATTCTGTTTCTATGATGATGATGTTCAAATGCACATGTTTCGCGTGTTTCACTTGGTGACACTTAGAAGTGGCAAAACTGAAACAATCGGCTAATTTCTGATCCTACATAAAGGCTCCGCGTACACTGAGTCAATATAAAGGTCCGGAGGGTTATAATGCGACAACCTGTCAAAATGACATCGTTTGCCAGTCAAGGCTGTGGCAATCAAGCTAAAGAAACACAATCCATCCAACCATCAACCATTTTGTTCCGCTCTTACATAACGTTAACCATTATGGACACGAGGATGGTGAGGTCATTCAAAAGCTATACTCCTGCTTTTAACAATATTTTGGGGAATGACACTGAGGCCTTCTGTATGATCCGTGCTTTGTGAAACGAAGGCAGGCTGTATTGTGTGCCCTTGGCGCTGAGGGATATGTTGTCCTCTACTTAGCATTTGTTCACCTTGGTGAGTCATGCACCGATAATCCACAGGGTTTTTGTTTTGCTTTGACAGGGAGCGTTTTCTTTGATGGGTGATGTCTGAAGCAGAACGCCTGATCCTGTTTGTTAATGTTGGATCTCCGAAGGGTGTTGGTGGATCTTCTGGTGATGTATGCGAAATACAAGCCAGGTTTCCACTGGTAACGGGTAAATTTGGCATACTCAGCCATTTATGTAGGTGAGTTTCATCACTGACTCTATGTCTTGGTCTCCGCTGGGCTGTGTGTACATTATGCATTGTATCCTCTCGCACACTTAAAGTCCCTCTTCTCAGTAGAGCAGAGAGCATGAGCATTGCCTCGTCCCTGTTTGTGTTGTGTGAGGGTGCCATGTCATCAATATCTTCAGCATCCATATCTTTGAAGCTGGAACAGAGAAAATTAAGAATACCGGAACTCCTCACAAACATATGTGTTTTCATCAGTAAATGTACAGACACATTTGAAGAAAAACACAAATATAGAGCTAACACGCACATCCGCAGTTTCAGTCAAGGCAAAGTTGTTACAATTGAAACGTCACCACTACCCCTATCTATGTGCGAAGTTGGTGAAGAAATCTGGTATAATTTTCAACATTTGACATCTTGCAAGGACGCTAGAATAATAATAGCCCTCGCAAAAGGGATAGTGAATATAATTAGCATTGCCTTCGAACATATCATTAACTAGTATTACACAATACCTTATCGCTTCTTCTGTACTGACTTAGTGGGGCCGGAATGGCCAGGTTTCGAATCCCGGTGGAGACACCAAAATTTGTGACCTGGGTCTCATACTGTGTTGTGTCCCTGGGCAAGGCACTTCATCCACATTGCACTCAGTTGCACTCAGTTCAATGGGTACCTGAGAAGTGGATGTACGGACCTATACGGTCACGCTTAGCGCTTAGTAGCAGCTTTGAAAGTACAATTCCGCCAGGGTAATAATCTAACGCCAGAGAGCAGCATCGTGTTGGATTCTAGGCGCAAAAATTAGCATTAATATTATTTTTACTATTATTATTACAGTACAACCAGAAATTATTGAGAATTTAAAGATTGTAATTTTTATTAAAAAAATTCACTCATTACTCGCGTATTAAATGTGAATATTAGCAGAACATAACTCCAAATTCAAAGACAGGTGAACAGTGAGTATTTTGTCAAGTCACCATGGGCAGCAATGCAGGCTTCAATACTGTGGGGCATACTACTGATCAAAGAAGTTTGAAAGTCGTGGCCCATGCTGTCCCAATATCAGACCACCTCTTCTTTCATTTCAGCAATATTTGTCAGATTTTTCTTATTGACACTTTCCTTCATAAGTCCCCAAACATTTTCTATTGGATTTAGGTCAGGGCTATAGCTTGGCCAATCTAATAATGTCATATTTTGGGTCCGAAACCAGGCCTGTGAATGCTTTGAACGATGTTTTGGGTCGTTGTCCTGCTGGAAAATCCAAACATTTCCATAGAACACGTGAGCAGATGGAAGTAAATGTCCCTCGAGAATATCTGTGTACCGCTCACTGTTCATATTTCCTTCAAAAACACAGAGGGGCGTTGTCCCTAACACAGATATGCCACCCCACACGTTAAATTTCGGACTGTACTTTGGGCGCTGATACAAAGGTTTTTCAGTTTGTTTGGTCCAGAATTTCAGGGTATTAGGAAACTTTCATCTGAGAAAATCACATTGTCCCAGTTAAAATTTCTAGTCTGTAAGCACCAGTTCAACCTTCGCTCCTTTTGTTCAGGTTTCATGATCGGTGATGGAATTCCTCGACTTTCATGCCAACCCATTGCATGCAGCTTAGTTCAAATTGTCTCCTTACAGACAGCCACAGTTCCTCTATCAATCATATCAAGCCTTAAGTTTTCTAAACTCCTTCGCTTGTTTTTAGAAACAAGAATACCAAGCCGCCTCCTGTCACCGACAGTCAATTTCCTGGGCCTACCTGCGCCTCCCTGGTGCTCAGTGCCATATCCATTTGCAATATTTTGCAAAACACGATAAACAGTTGACACTTTAGCTGATCTGATGTCCTTGTTATAATACTCTAAAATCAACTTCCTGTTCTCTAAATCATCCATACTGAGGATCACTGAAAATGTCACTGCTAGCAAGTAAACAAAGGGGGATAACTCTTCACAAACTAATGAAAAGGGATAAACGGAGCTGTCTCTCTTGAATGAAACCAAGCACTTGATAGCTGGTCTAGGTAGTTTATACTAGAAATCCAATTCAACATATTCCTCAAATTCTCCATAATTTCTGGTCATACTATATTATTATGTTTTACAGATTAAAGATGAAAAGAGGGTTCGGGTGATCCTGGCACAGTCAGGCTGGTAAGGCTTATCATCAGCTCAGGGCCCTCGCCCCCTCTACATGCAGCCCAGACAGCGAATGGGACTTCTCACCAAACCAACGGCACCAAGAACAATGGGGAGCCTGACGACAGTGTACTTGGGATGCAAGCGAGACATTTCAAAAGCGAGGTCCGCATATTTATCATGCTTTTCCTGAATCTTGTCAATCACATTGCTGTCAAAAGGGACAGAAAATTCAATGATATAAATAAATTCATTGGCTTTATCAAAAAGGACAAGATCAGATTTGTTGGCTGAAATTCTTCTGAGGCTGTATATGGGCCTATTCCACAGAAGTTTGAAAGCATAATTTTCCATTACGCCCTGGACATGTTCAGGGTCGTACCATGGATGGACCTCAGAGTCAAAGCCATTATTATTATTCTTATTTTGATTTTTATTATGTTTTACAGATTAAAGATGAAAATGCAGCAAAGAGGGTTCGGGTGATCCTGGCACAGTCAGGATGGTAAGGCTCATCATCAGCTCAGGGCCCTCGCCCCCTCTACACGCAGCCCAGACAGTGAATGGGACTTCTCCCACGAAACGCTGCCTAATCCCCAACACTGCAGCCTTCTGCATTACCCAGAGTGTCAGAAGGGCTGTGCTCCCGGTGGAGAACCCGGGCACTCACCTGATCTGCATCAAGAGATCAGGAGGTACCAAACCAAGGGCACCGAGAACAATGGGGAGCCTGACGACAATGTACTTGGGATGCAAGGGACAGAAAATGCAATGATATAAATAATTCAATATTATTATGTTTTACAGATTTAAGACAGTTTGCAGCAGAGAGGGTTCGGGTGATCCTGGCACAGTCAGGCTGGTAAGGCTCATCGTCAGCTCAGGGCACTTGCCCCCTCTACATGCAGCCCAGACAGCGAATGGGACTTCTCCCAGGAAACGCTGCCTAGTCGAACCCACCAAGAACTTTCCGGAGAATATGAAGGCTCCCCAACACTGCAGCCTTCTGCATTACCCAGAGTGTCAGAAGGGCTGTACTCCCGGTGGAGAACCCGGGCACTCTCCTGATCTGCGCCAAGAGATCAGGAGGTACCAAACCAAGGGCACCAAGAACAATGGGGAGCCTGACGACAGTGTACTTTGGATGCAAGCGAGACATTTCAAAGGCGAGGTCTGCATATTTATCATGCTTTTCCTTAATCTTGTCAATCACATTGCTGTCAAAAGGGACAGAAAATTCAATGATATAAATAAATTCATTGGCTTTATCAAAAAGGTCAAGATCAGGTTTGTTAGCTGGAATTCTTCTGAGGCTGTATATGGGCCTGTTCCACAGAAGTTTGAAAGCATAATTTTCCATGACGCCCTGGACATGTTCAGGGTCGTAACATGGATGGACCTCAGAGTCAAAGCTACAGGCATGTCGGGGACGGTAGTAAAAGCAACGAGCCATGCCATCATGTTGTTTAAAATATGCTGTTTGTGCCAATTATTATTATTATTATTATTATTATTATTATTATGTAAAATATTATGTATGGCTCGGATTTTGAGGATGAAGATATTTTATAATAAAACATCCAGATGTGCCATTTTCGTTCGTGTGTAGGGGAAGTTTAACTAGTTTATTGGTAATAGCCATACAGTAAAATGAATACTCACTCTGGTTGAATCTCCACTATAGGTAACTTGTGCGCTGCATCAGCTTCAACAGTGGATTCTGTCAAAATGTTAACAGTCAGTAATTGAGTCCTCATGTGAAATCAAGTGTTATTCGTGATATAGGGTATATTTTAGGTTAAAAAAAAGTTTAATGTGGCAAATAGAATGGTCATAATTGATGACTGGTCATAGCATAAATGGACATGTTTCAAATGATCATCATCTTTATAAAACATGATAAAAAAACAGTAAACGTATGCGTAAATATGTCACAACCTTTACTAGATTTAAATGAGGCTGGTTTGTCACAGACTAAATTGAAGTTCCTCACAAATCAAGGTCAGTGAATATATACTTACTTCATTTAAGACACGTCTCCGTATCTGCCTAAATATGTCACAATCTTTATTGGATTTAAATGAGGCATAGATTTAATTGAACATCCTCTCCAATCAAAAGTAGTGAACATATACTTACTCCCCACGGTATACATCTGCGTTTCTTCATCTCGTGAATATGTACTGAACAATTCCAGTTCTGCTATCTGGGATTTAGAGTCAGCACGGCGCAGTGTGTTCTCAATTTGTTCCTCTGCCCTTGTAATGTGCAAGCAAGCGAGGTCCATCAATTTGTTGCGTCTTTCGTCATCCTGCACCTTTGCACTGCGGTTAACAACAGCTGACGCCAAGGTTCTTCGTGCAGCTGCAATCCCTATCATTACAATCATACCAATCAGTTGAAGCACATACATATTTTCAAATAGCTCGTTATAAGTGAGGGAAAGTTAAAATTGACTGCATTATTTCAGGAAAGTGATAATGCGACCAAGATCACACACATATACACAAATCCATTAGACACACATGTGACTCTCCGTATAAAAGATATATATGTACATAATAGAGTATTACTTACAATTTAAAACATGGGGTTACCCATGATTGTCGGAAGAGGCGACTGACGGGATTGGGTGGTCAGACTCGCTGACTTGGTTGACACATGTCATCGTATCCCACTTCCGTAGATCGATGCTCATGATGTTGATCACTGGATTATCAGCTCAAGATTCGAAAATTTACAGACCGCCGTCATATAGCTTGAATATTGCTCAGTGCGGCGTTAAACACCAATTAAACAATAAAATATGACGAGAATATTAACATTCAGAGGGTAGAGAATAATCAACCTTTTTTAATTTTTAACGTTAGGTGTGTGAATTTCAGGTGACAAAAGTATGCTAAGTGAGTAAGTTCATTGTGCGCAAAGAGCACGTGCCATGCGCGTTACGTGACACCAAACTGCATGCAAGGTATGTTTAGGGTTATTGTTATAACTTTGCAAATACAGAGTGGGCAGAGGATCAGACTACCCTCCTTCACGGCTTCCTTACCGCTCCAATGTCTATGGTGGAGCCTGCAAAAGCAATTTAGAAAAATTAGGTTCTATCCACCACCAAGGCCTGAGGCTCTGTCTGGGAGCTTTTAGGACCTCCCTGGTAGACAGTCTATATGCGGAGGCTAACGAACCTTCCCTTGAACATCGCCGCATTAAACTTTCACTGCATTATATCACTAAGTTACGTTCAAATGAGACCAATCCAGCATACAGTTATGTTTTCAACCCTCTCAATGAAAATCTGTTTCCTAATCTGCCAAGCTTGGTTCAACAACTTTGAATCAGAATTCAACCTCACATAACTGCAGGTAACATTGATCTCAATATCATAACACCTTACCGACTTCTGTCTTCGCCACCTTGGCAGATGGTGAAACCACAGGTCGATCTTACCCTCACCAAACTCAAAAAGTCGGAAACAAATCCTGTGGTGTTCCAACAGGAATACAACCAGTTACGTTTTAAGTATAACATCCATTGGTCCATTTTCACAGACGGTTCCAAGGATGAGGGCCAAGTCGCCAGTGCTACAGTCATAGGATCTAAGGCTGTCTCCTCTAGGATTCCCGACAACAGTTCCATTTTCACTGCCGAGGCCAAAGCTATCTTTTCAGCTCTGACCTATATTAAACAGCAGAATCATTCCAAAACTTCATCGTTTTCACATATTCATTATCTTGCCTTCAAGCACTTCAAAATGTTACTTCAAGTCACCCAATCATTCTGGACATTTTGGAACTTTACAAAGACCTCTCTACTGGCCAATGCGACATCGTCCTCTGCTGGTTGCCGGGTCACGTCGGCATTGCACGTAACACAAAAGCCGATGCTGCAGCAAAAGCAGATCTTGACAAGCCCTTATCTCCACTGCTGATCCCGTACACTGATTTCAAACCCACTATCAAAAGCTATACCCGGAACATCATGCAAAAACGATGGGACACTCAAGTAGGAAGAAATAAACTGTTTGAATTGAAACCAACAATTGGTTATACCTACTTGGGTTGTCAGTCAAGACGTGATGAGGTAATTTTACGACGATGTCGTATTGGCCACAGCCGATTTACTCATGTCTATCTGCTGAAAACGGATAGGGATGGACCCCCCAGGTGTGTCTCTTGCGATGAGGTTTTCACCATCAAGCATATTCTGCTTGAATGCGTGGACTTATCGTCTGCAAGGGACTCACATTATGATGCAACAAAGCTAAAAGGTCTGTTCTCCCGCGGTAGCGCTCATCTGATAGTGAAGTACCTGAGGGAAGTTGAACTGTATCATAAATTATAACTGTGAAATGTAACTATCATAAATTGTAACTGTGAAAAGTGACTAACAAATTGCCTGCCTTTAAATTTGATGCTATTACTTTTTCTGCTTTTAAATGACAATGTAATGAATATATGTTTTTGAAATAAAACTCATACCGAGTATGTACTGACAATGTTGATTAATGCAAACTTGTTCTCCTCACTATATGTCTGGAATAGTGCTGATGTGACGCAAAACCCAACTTAACTAGTCACTCAATCAACGTCTGCATCTCAGACAGAAATTGAGAATGATAAAAAATGTCAAACGTCTGCTTCACAACCAGACGTGGAAAATTCAAAACGAAATGAGAAAAGAAACGAAACTACATGTTGTCCCTTCACCTCTTGAAAACTCATTTGGACCTCTAGATATGGAGGTTACTCTGCCCTCACAGGACAGGCAGAGGAGTAGTTCCTCCTCACATTCCCGTGAACGATCACCAATTGAACTACTATGACTCAATTGTCCAATATGATACAATGGAATTGCTGAGGAATAAGGACAAATTGTAATGAAGCACACTTACTAGTTGAAGATTATAAACCTTCAGCAACGTGTCTCCAAGAGTCACATCTTAAAAATACTCTCTTTCGTGCCTTGAGGCTATTAAAAATATAGCTTATTGACATCCCTCGAAATCATTAAAATATATATTGATCTTGCTACTCGCCAATACGACAAATTCTGTTGGTTACCCACCCATGTTGGAATCTCTGGTAACACGGTGGCCGTCTTCTAATCCCGTACACTGATTACAAATCTGTCATTAGATCTTATGTCCGTGATCTAATGCAAAAGAAGTGGGACACTCAAGTAGGTATCAATAAATTAAAACAATTAAACCAACTATCGGTTACGCTTACGTGGGTTGTCAATTCAGATTTGAAGTGGTCATCATGCGATGATGTCGTATTGGTCATAGATAGTCACATGAATATTTATTGAAAGGCGAGGATCCTCCTGCTTCACTGTGTTGATTTTTCCATCAACAAGGGATAACTATTTCAATATAAAACGATGAAGGATCTTATTAATAGTGTACAGGTTCATTCATTTTTTAAAATTCATTGCTTTAATTTTTATTCTTATGTGTTGTAGATAGATATATTTTAATGATTGGTAGTTTAGATTAGTAACTTAGACTGTTAGTGGCTGCATCCTCAGGGGGGTGGTTAAAGTAGTTCAACCAAACCTTTAACAGTAGTATATTTCTTGTTCTACATAATGGCTAAAACCTTAGTACAATCGCCAGCGGCTGAAGAGATGGTGTAAATCCATCTAGGGTTCTGCAGGTAGCAACAGGGATGTAAGTCCCCATGGTCCCTGGTGTGGTGATCTACCTTCAATTATTGGCGATCTATAGCCCGTGTTTTGTATTGTCATGATTGATGTTAAATTTTACTGATAGAAGCTAGTTTTAATTCTTGTTTCTGTGATATTCTTGTTTCTGTGATACTCTCCTTCGTCGACAGGTGTTTACAATTTAACTGTATTCGTAAGTATATTTAGTCAGGATATGGCTGAAACACTGCCAATGCGACGTAACATATTAACGCACAAATTCGCACAAGGGAAGAGCTGTTAGCGTTACCCAGCACTCACCATGAGGAGGTTGGTGTCAGAGAGTACCCAATATAATTATGTGTTACATGGGATGATTTAGATTTCTGATAGTTACCACGAAACTGGTTCAAGGGAGATAACCAACAGACACTGGGTAATAATTTTATAAAACGTTTCAATCCATGCCATCTCCCATGCGTACCTTGAAAGGCATCATGTGCGACTGTATTACATGAATCCGACTCCCGCCCCGCTCGTCTGTTGCGAAATTCTGAAGCAAAACAAACCAATAATTAACAAACAGACCAACTGTTCGTTGTGCTCACATACCAACTTCCAATTAATGTAAGATAAAACAAATATAAATTTTTCATGTATACTTTGAGGCAGCTATAATTGTGAATTTTTCATTCTTAATTTTATGAATGGATATATGGATTTGAAACGCAGAACGATTTCTTAACTTGGCTAAAGAAATGCTACCAAGCATGAAGCATGACAAATTAGAGACAAATAGCCAGCAGTGTTTACTTTTAAAAGGCAACCAACCAGTCCCTTAATCATTTCCACTTAATGCAGTCTTATGAAGAGTAGAAGTCCAAAAGCACCTCTATTCATCGTATGTAGAAACACAAATTGGCATTTATGGCGACATTTTCAGCAAACATTCAGGTTATGGAGCGTTCACTTAATCGCTGCCAGCCAGTAACTTCCTCCGACGTATGTTCCAACCAGCAGCTTTTACAGCCCGTACCATACCTGGCAACAGTGATATATCTGTCCAGTATAACGGCCCATTCTGACCCGAGAAATTCGACGTCGACGTGTTCAGTGGAACAGACCACATGCTGCTCGAGTTGTATCTTAATCAGAACATTGCTAATGTGTTCCCTCGATTTGTCACCCACTGAACACGTCTGGGATGTCGTGGGGCGCCGTTTACGTCATCCGAATCATCCGTCAACACTGCAGGAACTCAGCCAAATCCTTACATGGAATCATCTTCCCCAGGACTTTCCATCACAAGGAAAAATATTACGATGTAAAAACAATGAAGGATCTTTTAAGTCATGTTGCTCCTCATTTAATCCTTGGATTTTAAAAAGAAATTGAATTAGTCGATAATTTTGATATTCTGTAGATAGTTAATTTTTAATATTAGTAGAGTTTCAACCTACATAATTTTAATTGTAGAATAATTGTTGTTTTAAATTATGGATTTCCCAAAACTGTTTTCCTTTTTGGGGCATTTCGAAGTTGGGAGGTAACACAACAACGTATGGTGTGGATTTACAACTTCTGTAATATGATGAAGGGGCAAGAAGTAGCACAGAAACGTCGTGTTGTAAATATTAAAGAAGTTGTACATCCATACCATGTACGTCGTTGTGATAGCGTACTAGTTTTGGCGAAACATTATTATCGCTGGATGAAGGGAAGTAACTCTGAGCATGTTTCCCGCATTAGGAGTTAAGCGCTTTAGTTTCACATTTGCTGTTTTGGCTCCACTTGTGCCAACACGGTACGTTTGAAATTACCGAACGAAGTAATGAGATATTGTAAACGTTCATATATCGGGAAGTATTTTGTAGCATCATTATTTCCATCCATATTGTTGAACCAAGTGCATACAGTGGCAATAATGTCATTCCAAAATGTGGGCCCACTTCAGCGCCTGTTATAGGAGCCGAAAAAAAGTGGGCCCACATTTTAGAAACTTGCTTTTTATCATGGTATTCTGTAAATGCCTTTTTGTTTTTACAATATAACACAAACTGCATGAAATTCAACTAAAACAACTTTAATTTCCCCTCAATGAACAAGAATGTATTTGCACTTGTTGAATTCCTTAGACACATCATCAGGTTGATTTTATTGAGTGTGTCCATATGCAGGCTTATCACTTAAATCATGCTGAGGGAAATGAAACTATAATGAATATAATGAAACAAGAACAACAGTTAATTAAAACTCATTACTGTGATGGAAATAATTTTACATCAGAGACCTGGAAGTATTTACCAACAAGTATATACTGTTTCTGTAAAGTTATGAATACCAAGCAGAAAAACTAGTAAAAGTGGTGGTATGTCCTAATGAGATCTGTCATGAGGGAAAACATGCACTCATTCTTGTTGTTCCAACGGAACATAAGTTCATCAAGATGCGCACCAAGCTGCCCTTTGGATACACCATGCATGGATTTAAACTTTGATTTGGCATTACTCCAAAACCCTTCAATGGTATTGGTGTGAGCCCCAGTATGAGGATCTACATAATTGTTTTTGTGGCAAACTGTTTGGTGCTCATAACCATTTCTCTTTAAGCAAAGATATGATTTGAATTCGTCAGTTATGATCTCAGTGCCAACTTCAACATGGGCAAGTACTATGGGTAGTAATGTTTCAGTGGTTCTGTTCTCAACATTGAATAAAAGAACATTTTTAGTGTCTCTATCTATGAGACCAAAAACCCAATAGGTAGGAATACCCTGACTGGAACCCATGTGGTATTTTCTCTTTCTACGCCATTTGCTTTCATCCAACTCCACAGTATGGCTACCCCAAGTAACTGGCCCATGTAATAATGCACGAGACATTAAGTCTCTGTATAAATTGTACAATGTTGTCTCACGAACATCAAGAATTTTGAGAGCCAAGTGGGCACGTACATCAATGCAAAACAGACACAATATCATGAGGAAAGTACCTAGACTAAGCCTCTGTCCTTCCCAGAAGCTACCCAATCTCACTGACTTTGTTTTTCTACGTTATGGACATCGCCAGTTATGGCCATCAGCGTTCTGTTTGTCTTTCTGCCACAACATATTCAAATTGCATATGCTACATATTTGTGAGGAAGCCAGTAATTTGTTCCTTTTCATATAGTCAAGTGTTTTCTCAGAGTCATTGCAAATTGAAGCTATATCTAAAACTGTAACTTCCATTTTGATTTAAACACACAATTACATCAGTGAATATCCTGTGAAATGCTTGAATGTCTCAACGGCCAGCCAGCATGTGTATTGCTTGGAATAAATTCCTGAAGATAAGATGGAACTGACCCACCAGTAAAGTCTCCCAACAAAGGTAAGACCATCAAGTCTGCTGATCACCAGAATGTCAAATCCATTATGTCTAATTACTGCAAACTTGTATCTGTTATAACAGCTTCCAAACATTTCATCAACTTTTCCAGGAAGGAAATGAAAAGAGAAATTGTCATATTCAAACTCAGAAATACTTGACAGGTTCTCACACAGGTTTTCAGCAATACTCTGTGAAACTTCCTATTTGAGTTATATAGGACTCTTTCTTTTTGGACCACCAATGTACAAGCTGAATTACTCTTCCTTCCTTAGCCGGTGGGTCTTTAGACACTGCTTTTAATTTGAAAAACATTATGTATGACACAGACAGAAGCAGGCACCTAAGTCATCATAGTTCTCATGGAATCCAGAGACATATTTTGCAAGAAAGGATCGGACTGTAAGTTCAATGCATGACCTGGGTGGGTATCTAAATGTCTGATGCATTAAAAAAAAGTTCAGACTATTCATGTAAAAGACGGCATTCAGAACATTTCTTCTGTATCTTTTCCCATTGATGGTTCGTTTCTGTCTCAGTGTATATTTGAAATAGCAAAGCACATCAACTGAATGTTATGGGAAAAGTGGTCTGAAACCTGTGTCATAAAATCTGTAAGTTGCTTCATCCTCTTGATAATCTTCAATGTAATCACTTTTTTCTTGAGATGGCAGTCCACACATTTTGCAAAATCTTTCTTTTTGACACACAATGGGATAACTTCCTTTGAGCCAAAATTCTTTAGGACACTGTAATAAACGTTTTGCACAATATTTCGTCACGCAACACCCACGGAATTCGTCCATTTCCAATTATTTTCAACTTCAAACCGAGTGATTACTTCGTAGTAAAAATGTACGGGAACAGTAGTATGCAAATTAGACTTACCTTTGACCTGACCCACGAAGGTCGATTATTTGGGCCAATAGAACGTCGCCTGGCTCACAGCCTCTCCAATGACACGGGGGCTTGTCTCATTAATATTCATGAGGTCCGAATCTGACAGTTTCGCGGGGTTTCAACCCTGACTTTTGATTGTGTTTTCATCTTAAAACATTTCCATCAGTCGTTTATTTCAAGAAATACACAACGTTTTGAATTTATTTTCTTAGCAATTCCTGATTATACTTGTTTAATAATACATAGCTGCTTTATTTTCGAATGTGGGCCCACTTCCTTGTATAGGAAAACAAACTTAGAGTTACTTCCCTTCACGTTGCCTCCATCCACCGATAATAATGGATCGCCCTAGTTTTAAATTAAGAGTTGTGATATTCTAGTAGTTTTACTGTCCTTCGATGACAGGTGTTTATTTTCTCAATTTATTATTCATATATTGATATAAATGTAATTGTTCTCGTCACGATGTGGCTGAGATATTGCTGATGTGACGCTAAATATCAATTTACTCACTCACACCCAAGGACTTGCATCTAAGTTTAGTGGATTCAATGGGACGAAGCTGCCAGGCGTGCATCAATGCACACTCGCTACTGACAATGTGAACTTGATTGTGAATTAACCTGTGTTTTGTCTCAGGTAATCTGTTCTTGTGGATTGCTGATCGTTAACAACCTGGAAACATGGGTCTTTCATTCGCAGAGGTAAACGTGTAACACTGACTTCTGTTAGTTGTATGTATGCTATAATAGCTCTTGCCTTTGAGTGCATATTACCTTTCTTTGCGGAAGTTGTAATCAAACACCAAATTTCTACATACAACATGTAATAAATATTTTCACAAGAACTCCAATTATACTTACCTATAGAATCACGCGGCGAATTCAATCCAGTGCCACCAAAAGTTTTAAAGTGTTGGTCAGGGAAGGATGAAGGGCGTGAAGGAGATTCATCACTGTCATAGATAGACATGGTGTTCAAAATGCTACTGCTTGTTATCAACTACATTAAACGACTGTATTCTGTCCAACCATTCACAATGTTCCATTCTCAGTATACTTCCCTCTTTGTCTATGGTGTAGGTTTCAGGGCCTTTTCTATTAAAGAATACAACGCCCGGAGAATACCCGACTGCAATTTCTAAAATTTTAACATTATGAGCACTAGCCTGCTTTTCCAAAGGAGAGTTGTAGAGGGCAACCTTAATGAGACTGGTGGGGACAGACGTGAGAGCCCCGTCTGGTCTTTGATAGGATGCGTCAAATTCTAGTTTATCATCCAAAGACGCCTTGAATTCATAAACGTTCCAGTCGCAGGGAAAACCGTTGGGATTTATTTCTCTTGAGTCGTATGTTCCACCTCCATTTCTTTCGTTAATTCCCACGAAGAAAGAACCCCCACCTTCAAGTTTTGACATGGAACATAAATTTTCCCTGAATCTCAGATCAGTCCAAATGTAATCAACAAACGAGGAAATGTTATGAAATGTTCGATCTTTCTTCGTGAACACACTTTTAAGTTCAATGTGTCTGTTTTCATGCAGTCGTTTCTCAAAGTTGTGGATTCCTCTAAGTGTTGGTTCTGTCGCTGTTGTGATAACCTTTCTGGACAAGAGAGAGACGAAACCAATGGTCGACGCATTTTCAATCATAAAATCCGATGCAACTTTGGTGTAAAAATGTACTGTACATACAGACCGTGCTTTGTTAACAGTGAGGAGAAGAACAGGGGTGGTCTCAAAACCAGGAAAATCATCCGACAACCATTGACGTCTGTAAACTTCCGTGAACAGTTGTCCGTCAGGGATTAGATTCTTCAGGCAAGCGTCAGTAAAGTTGTCGAAGTGCCCAAGATACCTATCTTCTGGGTCTTGACCTTGCAGATGGACTAGGATCTCACCACCTGAGGTATTTCTTAATGCTGATACTTTCTTCTCAATTTCTTTCAACTTTCTCTTTTTAGTCTCGTTATGTTTAAGTTTAGAAGAAAATAAGTTGACATCAAGGTGTATCAAGAAGAAATAAGTTCCTTTGTAATGAGAGGAGTAGGCTGTTGCTGCCTCTCCACAGTCAGAACAACCTGTTTCGAAAGAAGATGGAAAGATTTACATGTCCATAGAAATTGGGAGAAAATGTGTAATTGTCCGTGGAGTGAGTGAGTGAGTGAAATTAGTTTTACGCTGCTTTTAGCAATATTCCAGCAATATAACGGTGGGATACACCAGAAATGAGCATCACACATTGTGCCCATGTGGGGAATCGAACCCGGTTCTTCGGCATGACGAGCGAATGCTTTAACCACTAGGCTACCCCACAGCCCCAATTGTCCGCGGAAACATTTATCTAAGCATTTATCAGATATATGCACCATTGTCAGGAATAGGAAGAAACATAGATGCCATAGTGAACCACACTTCTACATTTACCTGTTATGGCAATATGTTTCGGTCATTTGTTTGCATTGTGACAACTTACACGTATATTTTCTCGATCCTGAGATAAAAATCTTGTTAAGATGATTGTGTATGATTAGATAATACAGATGATACTTACTATCAATCCATTCTGCCATACTCTGCCATCTTTTCGATGTATTTAACCATCACTTCATGACATCCTGAAAAGTCAAGTTTTGAGGGATTCCAGTGAAGGAAAAATATTATGAAATTATGAAACACTGTGTACTGTGTTGAAAAAGTAACAGAAACACATTTTCATTTAACATACGTCAATTAAATAATTCAAGTAAATAAACATCTGTTATTAATGGAAACATATCCGACGAAATATCTAATTGAAGAATATGTATTATGACTAGAGAAAGAAATGTCATGTCCATGGAACATTGTGTGAAAAAAGAAACAAAAACAATCGTATATTTCAGGCAAATAAACATCTGTATATACTGAACACATATCCGACGAAATATACCCATAAACAAGTTGGGAACCAGAACTTTCAATTTGGATAGGAAGTATAAGCGTTAACAAACTTTTCAAAGACAGTTACTGTTAGTGTTTGTTTGTAGCCGTTTTTGGTTTGAAAATGAAAATTGTACACATGCAAAAAAGGTGACCTTCATGAACTTAAAGTGCGTTGATTTTTAATGTTGAAAATTGCAGTTTGAAAAATGTCCGCTATCCGAAGACGACATGAAAACGTGGAGTTCAATACCCAAAGAAACCAATGATCAAGATAATGAGCATGGTTTGTTGGAGAATCGTGCGGAGTCTTTTCCTTAGGTGTATAAGTGGAGCTAGCCCTGGCTTCTCATAGCCCATGACATCTCATGTAACAAAACGATGTGCTCAGTATATGACGATCATTACACCCCTGGATACTCTCCCTGGACTCAATTTTGGAAGTTTACTGTTGCAGAGAGGTGCAATTTGGCATCATTGTCTTTATTGCTGTAATTACCGCTCTTGTATTATATCAATTTGGAATTTGTACTGCAAACCTTTTTAACTATTATAGTCAGACATTTGCATTGCTTTGTATTGATTTGTGAATGAATTCACGAAAATATAATACCTATCAAACCACTGGATTAAAACAGAAAATATAGAAACCCAAACATGAACCAAATATACTGAAAGGCAAAAGAAATGTCGTATATTGACAATGACATTTAAGTACCAATGGAATATTTGAACCTATTTTTTAAAATAATACGCCACTGGAATGCAGTACCGACTTTCATCAGAGAAGATAACCCCTCTCCATTGCCCCGTTCCCGGCGGTGACGTTGGGTGAATATGGGTCTCCTGGCAGGACGTCGACAAAACAGGTTCCTGGCTTGGCGACGTCGCCGAATGGTCCGGTCACTGACTGGTCACTGGTGGTTTCCTGTGGTCACCCAAGCTGGTTCTCTGGCCGTTGCGACTAGGTCTTGCACGTGTTGATGGACGATATGACGGTCCTGGCGACGTGTTGTTACACGGGGTTGACCACTACGTGGACGGTCATCAGTGCTGCTGGTGGCGTTGTATCGCTCTCTAAGACGTTCTATCGTTCGTAGGTTGCAATTGAAGTCATTAGCAATGACTCGAGCATGTTGACCAGCGTGTAGACGTCCAATGGCTTGTTGGTGTGGTTAATCTCTCGTTAAGCTAGTCATAGCAGCTGTATTCAGAAAACAAGTGAACGATGGCTATTCAAGCCGGCAATTTATGCCTGAATCCATTTATGATGCACGTGCATCTCGATTTCAATGTTGTGTTTGTGGGAACTCTTCCCTCTCCAAAAACAAAAACATTTCTAACCTCAATCTCAAACAATTCTTTATTGGGCAATGCAGGGTATACGACCACGATTCATGTTTCCTCAAACTTGACTTCCGGTGTATATTTAAAAAAATTGGTTCAAATACTCCATTGATACTCAAATGTCATTTCCAATATTACGACGTTTCTTTTGCCTTTCAGTATATATATTCTGTTTATATTGACTAAGTTACAATAGCGTTTCATGTAATAATTTATATAAATTCGTACCTTTCACTCCACTTGAGCCCAATATATCGTTGCGTAGGCAGTTGCTTAGGTTCCTTTCGCAGATTAGAGTTAACACCTTTCTATATTAAGCACAAGAAAAATAATGGTGATTTGCAAAAAATTCCAATTTGGAAATATCATATTTCCAAGTTTGGGAAATTTATGAAGGATTTTACCACTACTTCTTTCAGTTTCTTCTTTGCCCAAGGATCCCCATGGGTGTATAAACTTAACTATTTCACGCATGTTTTTTTCTGTTACAGTTCTAGGTGTTGATATACATAATGCATCTTGAATTGGACATATTTATTCATGAGACCTGCAGGAATAAGCCGTATTTTGATAGTATTCATTTGTGCTTTATATTAATGTAACTGCATCTGACGCTTGAACATACATTTTTGAAAGTGTCAAAAATTGATATTGACTGTTATATTTGCCCCTAGTATGGCTAGCCTTTTCCAAAATACCGTTTTAAGTGTATGTTTTACTTGTTATCGACAGAAGCTCAAATAATGTTTCCCCTGTCATGGTTTGTGTAAACACAAAGTACATAGCCCTACGTTAAATCAAGGATGTTATAAAAGTTTACCGGACCCACTGACTGATAGGACAGGGTTTATTAATGTCATAAAAATGAACCCTTGCCAGGGAATAATAGGCTTATTGTTGTAGAGTATATCTCTAATTGGTACCCTCTTATTGGTGTCTTCTCCAGTAGGGTGAACACTATTCGCACTTAAGTTTCTAATCCAATCAGGATTAAAGGATTAGGGATTAACGGATTAGTCATTTGGTCACTCAGCGAGAGACGCTAATGAGCTGAACTGGTGTTCACTTCAAGTCACTGTAAATTAATTGACATTTATTAGTGAACTCTGTTAAACAATTTTATGACAAATATAAATAGAGGTCCCGGGCCACTTTCGTCACTAAGTCCTACCACGGCAAATGCACAGCTACAGGTCAAGTTCATCCCAACTTCGAGAGGCGTGGGCCAATATTGACGCTGGAATGAACGCCATCGAGGTCCCCTGACCATAATCCAATAGAGCACGTTTGAAATGCACTTTGGAGAAGGCTTCGTGGTCTTAGGAACCAATCTCACAATTTGCAGGAACTTGGCGCTGCCTTGCAAAAGCAATGGCGCAGAATCCCCAATCACGTGTTCACAAGCATCAGGCAGTCGATGAGGAGACGGTGTTTGGCAGTGGTGAATGCGCGGGAAGGCCATACACGATATCGAACTGAGAAATTTCGCATTTTTATTCTTGTGACTTGACATTCTGTATACCCATGTTTTGGAACGGCGGTGTAGCCTAATGGAACTGATTATGGCACTGTCAGTGTATTGAGTACATCACACACATCTCTGCAATGAAATAATACCAATTTAACCATCTTACATCTTGTTCTATAGTGCCCTGAAGAAAGAATGTGAAGTTTCTTTTTTGACTCAGTATATTTTACAAGCTGTACACCATCCTTGCTGTTACAGGATGGCACAACATGGCGAAGAAGTTGGTGTGCAAGGCCCAACCCAACAGTTCGGAACTGATCCAGTTCTTAAAGATGGAGCAGACAACAGTTCGATGCTGGCCAAAGGAGGCCTCCCAAGAGGAGGAAGTACAGAGATTTGGACAACAAACTTGACCAGCTGAAGACGAGACTCCAGGTCAACAACTTCGCCGTTTTGGAGTATGCCGATGCAGCAGCACAACTGCTTAGTTTGTAAATTAGTGCTGTTGATGATGTATGTAACATCGATGTATATGTGCAAATAAAACAGTTTTGCCATCTCCCCTATTTCAAATTGTCTGTCGGTCCTAATCCGGATTAGTAAATTTAGTCTGACTATGTCCCGTAATTGCAATAATTGGCTATTTAACGAAATTCGCACGAAGTCATCCAGTAGGGATTAGCGTTTGCCCAAGCTGGTGACTTCATGAGAATAAACCCTCTTATTAACACCTGCCACAAGGGATGGACCGTTTGGGTGGTTTATCATTGCGTAATCAACAGTCACCAGACCATGAAATGTTGTTTTAAGACTGAAGGCGAATTGGGATGTAGGCGAATAGAGAACAACCTGTTTGGGTTTGTGGTCAGAGACGGTGTTATGCTATTGGTGTATTCACGAAATAACATGAACTTGTTAATAGATAATTGGTTATGTTGTCCACACACGGGCACACAACCCAAATGAATTCCTTCTTAAAAACCTCATAGTGTAACTAATTAATTTGGTCATTTACAATAAAAGATGACTAAATGTTTAATACATTATTCATATTAGATCACGTTAAATAATTTCTAGAGAAATCAGTACACCAGTTCATATCTTATTAAATAGTCTTTATTCGCAGAGTGTATGTAGGTCATCGGCCCATATTACAAATATTAAACGCTTGCAGCCATATATGATTGGCGGTGCTTTACAGCAAATTGCAATAATTGGCTATTTAGCGAAATTCGCACGAAGTCACCCAGTAGGGATTAGTGTTTCTCCAAGCTGGTGACTTCATGAGAATAAACCCTCAGGATGTCCACAAGTGGTACGCTTTGAAGTTTGGGTGTTATTTTAGCACATGGCTAATCTCATTGACGTGTTATTACAAGGCTGGTGGTTAATGGAAATGAACACAACGCACACAGAAGCCGACCGTGTCAAAACATTATCAAAACAATCATATGATGAACATATTTAAAGAGGCACTGATCCAGAGCAATTTCCGTGGACTGCTTGCTGCTTTTGTTATTGTTTTTCTCCCGTGAGTACCCGGATGATATCCAAGTATTCTCGACTGATTCATGACCTCTGCTGTGCCACCCGCATGCGCAATTGAGAGTATAGGTATAGATTGATCAACAATGCTGATTTTACCATCGATTTTCTGTTTCCACTCATGTATAAGTATTCACTTATTAAGTTAAATAATATTACTGTAAGTTATTACATATTCGATTAAAAAAGAAGAAATGGAAACCCAAAGATGACCAAAATATATACATTATTTTTTATTATTAAAATACAATAAAGCTTTAAATAATAATTCTTATAATTTCATATCGTTCACACCACTTGAGCCCTAGATATCGTTGCGTGGGCAGTGCAATGCTCCTTTGGCAGAGTAAAGTTAAGTCTGTTTTATATTGAGGTCATGCTGACTGAATGCTGATTGCTGATTTTCTCTCAAGCAGATGTTTTATTGCTAGCACGAGTGCTGTAAATCTAGATCTGCACTTAATGTCCAAGCATATGCTTTAGGTTTTACACATAGTTCATGTACGGTGAAACCCCGAGTCCAGCACAGTGAAGGAAGGAGAAAGCAGCTGCCATGTTTATGTTTATGCTGTGTCATGAATAACATGTTTTAGGGTTATTTTTGTTAAATCGACAGTTGCTGCTTTTGCCATCTTACATATCTGATGGAATAGTTGACACTAGTTATGTAATGTAAAGTAATAATGTGATATAATGTGATGTAATATTGTGATATAAGGTGATGTAATAATGCAAATCTTAGGCAATGTAATGCATTAAGACTAATGCATTAACAATGTCAGGTCTTTTCATAAGAATGTAATGTAGTAAGAATATAATGGAATGTTATATAATAAGAATCTAACCGTTTTTTGACCAGATGGAAAGAACAGTGCCACGACTGAGTTTACATTCTTGCCTACCCGCACCCGAAGAAATCGAAGACTTTGCCGACGGTCAGCACGGTCTCATCGTTTTGGGCGATCTGATGGTCCAAGTGTTGGACTCGAAAGACATGGAGCTGTTATTCACTCAGGGGTGTCATCATAGACGACTGAGCGTCATTTTTATCACACAAAACCTGTACGGTCAGGCTAAAGCGGCTAGAGGAAAACATCGGAGTGAGTGAGAATTTCCTGCGCCGTTATACGCAAATAACCTGTAATACCCGCCAGCATGCACACATGAGCCGTGCTTTGGTTTAATGATGGCTGACAACTGTGCCCAGACAGAACCGTCCTTCAGGACCCTAAGAGATGTATGCAAGTTGTGTATCAGGGTCCCTTATGAGTGAGTGACTGAGTGAGTTTAGTTTTACGCCACACTCAGCAATAGTTCAGCTATATGGCGGCGGTCTGTATATAATCGAGTCTGGACCAGACAATCCAGTGATCAACAGCATGAGCATCAATCTGCGCAATTGGGAACCGATGACATGTGTCAACCAAGTCAGCGAGCCTGACCACCCGATCCCGTTAGTCGCCTCTTACGACAAGCATGGGTTACTGAAGGCCAATGTTCTAACCTGGACCTTCACGGGTATCCCTAATGAGCACGATTATATATGGTTTCCTTCGGTGATGGTGTTTTCTTAAGTCACATGCAAATCATTTGCAACCAATGTGTGGCATCACATGAATATAACTTTCAGGTATATTTTCCATAATGTACACGTTTAGGATGCTGAAGCCAATGTATATATATGAATACTTCGCGGACCCTTTTTAGATATTTAAAACGGTTGAACTTATACCAACTTTATAATGGACAATATAGTTGTGCACACGAAAAAATTAATGCTTGAGACGATTTATCATGAAGTTAGCAATATACATAGGTCTAGATAGCCAATAACTTAGGGTTCTTTTCGTCGTCATTTTCAAAATGTCAAATGTATTGATTTTTCCGCACAAATGTGTACCTTGTCACAAATGCAATGTTCCAAGTATTGTGAATCATAGTTGCATTGAAGTCTAGGATGATCTTAGAACCTTATAAAATAGCATCATACCACACGCTATATTCTACCGTGAAACCGATGAAACCTTCATTCTGATTTGTCTGGCAGGTAATTTCACTTGCATTTGTACATCGATCTAAATATGGCACTTGCCTGGATAACACACCAGTTGCCGATAGCCCATTAGAATTATATACGTTCACTGTCAGATAAACAGCTTAACATACGTGATAAAAGCTTTTTCAGAACACACACTTCAGTAAAACACTCACTAACCACTGTGCCAGGGAGGCACAAAACTAGATTGATTTTCACATTTTGTTTGTGCTTTGGCACCTCGTCTTCAGCTACAAATC